AGTGTTTCAATCAAAACAAAAGGCTTTTGTAGTTGATTACTGCTCATAAATTTGGCCACTTGATAATCAAATCAAATTTACTTTATTTGTAATATAAAATAGTTTATTAAATAAGGCAATAGTCTATTCAAAATGCAATATATTATTTTCACAATGATGTAAAAGTGGAAATTGTGCACCAGCTTATGTAGATAAGATGCCACTTGAAAGTGAGTCACATTCCAGGCTTAGCTAAATCTGCTATTAGAACAATATAAAAAAATAGATTAGAAATGAAAAAGAACATCATTGGAAACTTCACAATTGTTTAAATGTTAATCAAAGATCTTAGGAAATCATAAGCAAGGCATCAAACTATAATGATGCAACATTTCTGGTGCAGCAGGCTCTTCTATTTCCAGGACTTCATTCCTAGTGCAGAGGGCCTTGTGTTTAAATTATGGCATCACATCTTAACCTCTGAATGCTGCAGGCAGCCCCTTGAGATGATCCAGAGCCATCATAGAGGAGGTAGCAGAGGGCATGCCAAGGTAAGGTATATATGATCAGCTGGATATTTTATACGAAAGAGTGTGCATTTATACAGTGATGACAACTTTCCAAATTATAGGTATTCTGAATTACTACTGATAACAGAGGACTTTAACCTAGTTACCCTTACTGACTATCTATGCAGCCTAGACTGTCTTATTTCATAGTTGAAACTTACAAAAAAATATACTTTTAAGCCTAAAAGCAATGATTAACTTGGCGATGATTATTTAAAATGTATGATTATTTTTATAAACCTTGAAGACCTATTCTAACTGCAATTTGAACATAAAGAACATAGAATGTGTGGAAGGTATCATATATTGAATTCCTAGTGATTATTTTGAATTACTAGTAAAAGAAATAATATGATATCCAAATACAGAAAGAATTAGTGTTGCCCAACACTCCAAATGCAAGCAATACATGTATTTGTATAACATAGAACGTTGTTTCCTAATCAGGGAGCCTTTATACTTTACTTTGTTTTGATTTTTATTTAGCTATTTACTTATTCATTAGTAAAATGTAATGTATTAAGAAACTCTTCCACTACTAAATGTAATGCCCTAGGAAATAGACTCCAAAAATACACTGACCTTGTCATAACGTAAAATATTCACTTCAAAACTATTCAACTCAAAGCAGAACTGCACTTGCAATGTCACAGTGCTATCAATAGGAAGTTTAGGTAACTGTCACTTTAAAAGTAGCCATCAACTCTGCCTAAATATACATTATTTTTATATGAAAACCCTGGTATCTTCTTTCAACATATATTTTGAAGAGAGTTAATTTAGTGATTAAGCTTTAAAAGCAACTACATTTTCCTGTTATGCTACTGTGAAAAGAAAATTGTAGTCATTATTAAAAAAATAAATAAAATTGGTTATATGCTAGAGTGACCTTGATACTGATTTTTTAAAAATATTCTTATAAACTGTGTGATACCAAAACAACTACTGTTTCACAACCTCACCTCCATAAAGAAACTATATTTCATTTGACAGTAAGAGAAAGAACATATTGGCCAAGAACACTTTAGTAACTGGGATTTTAATGGAGGTAGAAACATGATATTATACTAATACAACTACTTAAAGCTTGAGGCACATGGATTCTCTTAAATTCATCCTCAGCTTCATGGAATTTTGAATAAATGGGTGTTCTATTAAATAGTATCTCCACCCTGAAATATTAATAATTATATTAAAGATGGCTGAAATAAAAAATCATATTATGTTTGTTTAGCCCCAGATTTTGACTGTTTTTTTTAAAATATATGCACTTGTTTTCCACACTTCTGAAACCCACTGGAAATTTATGTTTTCTAACAAAATACTAGTATATTTTTAAGATGTTGTCTTTAAGCTTGAGGCAATCTCAAGGTCATTTTTAGTTCCTGAGATTTTAACTGTGAAAAGTGCCAATTAGTTTCAATTTTGTTGATGTTATACATGATGTAGTCTCTAACATAATATATTTTTTGGAGGAAATTGGTGACATGTTTCCTCAGGATATAGACAAAGACCAATCTGTGCAGTGTTGTATACCACCATCTCAATGTGCCATGGTCTGTCAATGCTAACATATTGAAATCAGAAGTGAAGACTCAATCCCTTTTATGTTTGTCTCTGTAATGTCAAACACACAGTTCAAATCCTTGGAAGTATCTTGGTGTCTGACTAGTTGAACATTTAGGGTATATGTTTATAATAAACTGTGACAACAGTTATGTGTCATGGTAAGGAAGTTAACGGTTGTATTGAATTAAAATCTTCACAGGTAAAATCATATCTGGAATATTATGTTTAATCATTGTACTTACATTCTCACAGAAATTGGAGTATACCCATAGGAAAATGACTGGGACAGTGAAAAAACATACAGAACACCATAGAATAAATGATCAGATTTAAATTTCCAATTTAAAAAGAGAATAGTTGGTTTAAGATATTGAACACATTATCCTGTGGTTGATACTTAAACTGAGTCTAGAAAGCACAAGAAACCACTAAGATCAGAGGATAATGTTACTAGGAAACTCAGTATGAGATGGAATTCCCTGAGAACTATAGCTGTCTGAAATTAGAATGTTTTCCCATTGTTAGATGCCTTAAAGAAGGCGGGCGGGGGAGGTGAAACAAACTGCTTGAGAAATTGTTGAAGATTCATGACCAGAGTACAGAATTGAATGATGAAACCCTATAGATTCCCATAATTTTGACAGACTGTGAATTTAAGATATTTCCTCATGATAAACTATTTTCAAAATGCCTCAATGTTTCAATGTTCAAGACAGGAATCCATTATATTAAACTGTACAAAATTGCCAGTTTTGTAGGTCCAAAATTGTTGAGTCACAGAAATTTCATGTGTTTACCTTAACATTCATAGTTCTCTAATGTCCGAAAGAGGATAGAAATGAGGAGGGGAACATGCATCTCCTTAGTACTTGCTCTGCTAGTACTGTTGTTAATACAATTCAGGAGGTCATATTTATTTCATAATTAGTCAGATTAACCATAAAATATAAAAGTAAATAATGCTAATTGACAATACTCCAAATTCCCTATACCTTGTTTGATTTCCCATACCTTGTTGGTCCCATAGAGAAACAAACAATAACCAAATCAAATATCAAACAAAAATCAGATAAGCTAATAATTGTCAAAGTTCTGAAAATTGGAGAATACTAAGGAAGTTATAGTGCATTTTTATGGCTACTAGTTTTATGTAATTGCAAGCAGGTATTGCAAATGAATTCATATGAATGCTATGATGTGGATAATTATATATAAAGAAACTTGAAGCCAAATAAAAGGAACAAATGGGAGAAAAAAAAATGGGAGAAAACTGGTACTAGTTACGATAACCCTGTAAACACGAGTTAGGACATGTACAGTCAATTCTAATTGTCACTAACTCTTTAAATAACCCTAAGCAAGTCATAACCTTGAATTAGTTCATTTGTACCATGAGTGGATTGGATTAATTGAACTGTAGATACATTTCAAAATCTTAAAATCTATTGCTGTTTGATAAGACTTTAAATGCAAAATATAGGAAGTGCCATGTAAGAAGAAATTTTAATAAGATGATCAATATTTTATCATGATTAAGTTAATGGTGAAGAAAATACTTATGACCAAGATTATTATTGACATATGTAGTCCATGTGAGGAAAGTACTTACATAATGCTGTTTTTATTTATATTTCTGTATTTTGGTTAAAGTCATTGCATAGACTTGGTTTGAAGATTAGACTGGTCACTTGTTGGGTCTCTTACCTTAGAGAGTTTGGGAATACTTCTGCCAGGGTTTGAAGGGAACTAACTGACTTAGATCCTAGCTGCTGTGCTCAAGAGACCCTTCCCTGTGGTGGGTGTGCTGGCCAGTTTCCCACTGGCTGCTTCAGCCAGTAACTGAAAAAATTGGGAAATTGAAGCAGGTCCATTGTTGGAAGATATGTGACTTCTCTGGTGTGGTTCTGGCTTAAAGAATACCCCATGGTTTTGCCAAAGTTTCTCCAACTGCTCTGCATTTTGAGAGTTTCACTTGACGTTTCTTCCTTTAATTTTCCCTTCACTCAGGGTAGAAACTGCCTTCAAATTTGACAGTCCCCCTCTTTAGTCCCCCACCTCCTTAACTGACACATATTTCCACTGATAATTTTTTTAAAGAGAGAGTGAGAGAGGAGAGAGAGAGAGAATTTTTAATATTTATTTTCTAGTTCTCGGCGGATACAACATCTTTGTTGGCATGTGGTGCTGAGGATCGAACCCGGGCCGCACGCATGCCAGGCGAGCGCGCTACCGCTTGAGCCACATCCCCAGCCCCTGATAATTTTTTTTTAACACATGTAATCCTTTCTTGATTCTTGCTTCTTGAAAAACCTGGAATAAGAGAGCACTTAAATCTTTCATATTTTATTTAGTTTACTTATCTGCAAGTTGAAGATAATACTTAACTAACTTGGTTATTATTAAGTTAAAGAATATCACATATGAAAATTGAGCACAGTGCTTACATAATGCTAGCATTTACTAGTATGGTGTAGCCAATCTAGGAAAGTTATTCACAATATTTTTGGGTCTCATTATCCTTGTTCAAATGGTTGCTGCAACCTAAATTGCCTTCTTATCTAAATATCTCTGTTTCTCACATTTCTTATTAGAATCCTCATTAAGCCACCTCTTTCACAGAACTTTGGAATAGTTGTAATTTTTCCCTCTTCAGGACTACCATTGCACTTAAAATATTTTGCCTTGCACAATCATCATGTCCCATTCTTAAGTGTAAGTATTATGGGTCCAATGTCACTTTTGTACACATTTTTTTGTATTTCTGAAATCTGGTACTCAGGATACTCAATAATTATCAGTAAATGAATACAAACAAGAATAAACAAAACAAAGTTGGTTTACAAATATTCAGAGGTTATATTAAATAGAAATTTGCCAAAGAAAAACTTCAATATTATTTTTATTATTTTTGTTGTTGTTAAGTGCAATGAAGTCATTTATAGGTTCAAAGAAGGGAATCACAGAATAGGTCAGGTGTTTGATGTTTATTTCAGTGGATACTCTATGGAGAAGATCTTGAGAGTGAGGTTTAAGATCAGTGCTGCAATTGAACCTTAGATTTGTTTTACCAAAAAATTACAGTTGCCCATACTTCTTACTATAACTTACTAAACATGCATCCTGTTTCCCTGGAAGCAGTCACCTCATTATTTTCTAGCATTAATAACTAATGTGTATGCTAATTTGTGCTATGAAAGAGGTGAGAAAGACATTTGAGTCTCAGTAAATAATGACCTTTCCTGTTTTTAACTAAGATCAGTAACTCTAATGCTGGGAAATCAACTGACTGGCACTAGCAACAATTAAGCAATGAATATCTATTGGAGCCCTGGGACCTGGAGTGGTCTGATAAATGACATATGTCATTTAAATAATACCAATATTACTAAAATTAAATTGATAAAATATGCCAATTAAAATATATTGTATTATTCAATTCACTGCAAGGAGAATATTATGAAGACTATTAGGCATAGACATACAATGGTAGGATTCAGAGGTTGGGTAGTTGTTTTAAATATGATAATTTTATTATTTGAATTGATATGTATTCCTACACTATCAAACATAAAGGAATGAAAATACAAAACATATTCCATAGCTAATCCTAAATGACACTGTCTCAGATTATCTGTTGTTCTTATCCCCTCCATTAGTGCAAGTAATGGAGTATTTGAATTTGAAACTACAAGTTCATCTCATTGTTCCATTATAGGTAATAAAAGTGACCTATGTGAGGATATTAGAGTAGTGATTTTACTTAGTATTCACCTTATGCTTAGAAGGTGTGAAATTGTTAACTCATTCAAATTAAATCATTATCCAATTATGTAACAAATAGACTTCTGCTTAAAAAGCTTAACTAAGCAGGTGCAGAGAGAAAGAAGCAGCTCCATCAAATGCTTCATGAGACCATTTCTACTGCTGTTCTTTATTTTTATGTCTCATTAACAGCAGAATTAACTATCACACACTGAACATAGAGGGCAAATTAGAAGAAACTAAGCGTTCTGCATAATCTTAAAAATATCTTAAATACAAAAGGAGTTGAGGAGTTTTGCTATTTTTTTTCTTTAATGAACAATAGCCTGGCATAAATTTGAACCTTCTCATCACTGATCAAAGGTATAGGACAAACACTAGACACTAGTTTATATATATTATTCATCTATAATATATTATATCAACATCTATGCATATTAATACAGATATGCAGACCATGACTCAAGCAACAGAAATTCATTTCCTCAAAATTTTGGGCTCTAGAAGTCCAAGATTACAGTGTCAGCAGATTCATTTCCTGAGATCTTGCTTTGCAGATGACTGTTGCTCACTGTGTCTTCACATGATCATTCTTTGTGCTAAGTGTGGTCTGTGTCCTATTCAAGGAGATTTTGTATTTGTTCTAATTATTGATGTGAATCATCCACTTATTTGTAGTATTTTGTAATACATAGTCCTAAAAAAGAAAAAAAAAACAGAAGATCTATACTTAGAGAAAATATTCACAAAATACATACTTGAAAGTGGACTTGTATTTAAAACACAAAAATAATTTATATTCAACAAAAAAATGACACTGTTAAAAAATTGGAAAGAAAAAAAACAATGGGCAAAAGATCTGAATGGACATCTCACCAGAGAAGATATACAAAGAGCAATAAAGCCTGTGAAAAAGTGTTCCAGGCCTCATATCATCAGAAAGTTGCAAACTACAAAGATGAAACACAAATACACACTTATTAAAATGGCTAAAATCTGATGTAGATGAACAAGAATTTCCATTTACTGCTATTAGACATGCAAAATTGTTCAGCCATTTTGGAAGAGAGTTCAGCAGTGTCTTACAAAGCTAAACATAGATTTCCCATAAAATTCAGTGATCACATTCCTAAATATTTATTCACATGAATGGAAAAATGCATGTCCATGCAAAAACCTGCACACCAATATTTACATCAGCTTTATTTCTAATTGTCAAAATAAGTAGAAACCAAAATGAACTTCAATAGTTGAATATATAAACAAATGGTGGTGTATTCATAAAATGTAATATAATTGTGTGATAAAAAGAAATGGGCTATTATGATATAAAAAGACATGGTGGAAAGTTACATGCAAATACATGATAAAACTATTCTAAAGAAGGTGCTTACTGTATAATTTCAATGATATGTCGTTCTAGATAAGACAAAACTATAGAGACAGTAATGGGATTAGTGTTTCTCAAGGGCTTAAGGGGAATGAGGGTTTCATAAATAGTGCAGGGCATTTATAGGTCAATGAAGCTATCCAGCATGACACTGTAATAAGACTTCATGCACTTTTCAAAACCCATTGACTTTACAAAATAAAGGGTTTACAAATACCTGTACAAAATTAAACTATGGGCATTAATTAATAATTTTAAATAAAATTTAGTCCAGCCATTGAAACTAATGTTCCACACTAATGTTCAATGTTAATATTAAGGAAACTGTGGTGAGAAGAGGTTCTATGAGAATTTTTCATATTTTCTGTGTAAGTTTTCTAAAGAAAGTCTATTAAAATATTTGAGTAAAAACTACATTGATATAGTCTTTATTATTTATCCAATGATGAAATTTCTCAATTGAATTATAGATTTTATATAGACCTATAACTATGTAGGTATTTATAATATTCATATATAATATATTGTATAAACATCTATACATATTAATACAAATTATTTATTGTACATGAGATTCTTATAACTTAGGAGTTGTAATGGAATAGAACATTGAAAAATCACCCACACAATATTCTCCTAAAACTTATTATAATTGTTCTTACTAGCAGAAGACTAGTTAGAATCATTAATGCTAAGAATGACATATTACAAAATGCAAAAGTAATGTTCTACTAAAAGATTTGCATTAATGTTTTCATCTAATTTTTGAAATTGTCCAGGTATTTCTAAACATACTCTTGTTAATCTGGATTAAAATTTATATTTAATTTATATTAAAAGTTTAATTGTAGTACATCTTGTTTTGGAGTGACATCTCATTTATGATAAGATCTATCTTTAAGTGTCTTCTTTGATGTCTTTTAATAGAACCCCACCCCTTCTTTTCCCCCTTGTAATGGCTTCTTAGTTTTTATCCTCTGTTATATTTTTTGGTTGATCATTAATAGTATAAAGACAAATTGTGCGTTTTAAAGCTTCTTCCTTAGGCAATAATACTGGTGGCTCTACTGCTCTGTAGATTATTCATATTTTGTTGGAGCATATGGTAGATACTCAGGGAATGTTGGCCTCCACCTGTCATTATAAGCTAGCAATTTCAACTGAATCAGGTTTTGTTGCTATCCTCTTATTATGCAGTTGATACCTGTCTAGCACAGGGAGGATTCTGTTGTTTTGCTGTCTAAACATTTTTTTCAGGATGGATGATGTTATTTCAATGCATTGTTGGCAAGACAAACATATACTTCTCATAAGTGCCCTAGCAAATTCTTTATCAGCATTAGGTCTTTTCTGAGACTTTGATTGGTCTACCCCACAAAAGATCAAACATCATCCTCACCTCAGGTGTCCCTTGATATTTTCATATTAATTGATGAGATAGTTAATATTACTCAATTTTCTAGCAGCTCTTGGATTGTAATTGGAAGAGGGACAAATAAATTCATTCTAAGCCTAGCTAATAAGAATACAAAATGAGAATAATTGTGTATATATAATCTATTTTTGCTGGACAGTTTATTTTGGCATCGAAGTAATTATATTTAAAATACTTACTTGCATAATTTTATTTGTTGTTTATTTTGAAAGAACAGGTGGACTTGAAATTAATTGCAAAGGATGAAAATAGAAGTTGTTATTTTCCATATAAGGTATGCTTATAAATCACTTTTGAGTTAGGGGAAGGAACTATAGTTTAAGTATGTTTTGGTAAAATCATTGCTGTACAGTTTACATAATGTGGGGAAATATGAATGTTAATAAACTATAGTAGAACTGGACCTTTCCTACCAATAGTTTTTTTAACCATTTTTCACATGCACATTAAATAATTTCAAATGTTGATAATCTTTATGAGAAAAGTTATTGATGGGGCCGATGTAAGTACAAGCAGGAGCTTCAACTAGCAGAAGACTTCTTAACATGAAGAGCTATAGTAATACAAGAGATACATACCTTCTCTAAGGTAGTGAACTCATGGTATAATTAAGTTTCCTAAACTGTATGCTAGAATTACACCGATTCCAGATGTAAACATAGAACCTGCTTTCTCAACTAAATTCTCAAGCAGTGTTTGATTGATATTAATAATTGTTAAGATTTATTACGGTGTATTTCATAAGGGGTATTATTGTCATATTGATGATAAGGGCATTAAGACATAGATCTATTATATGATATACACAAATACCCAAAGTCAGAGACTAATATTCATACTCACGTGAGTCAAATTCCAGAGTCAAAGTTTTTGCTGTTAAACTAGGCAGAAAAAGCAAAAGGGAAAAAGAAAGTAAAGGAGTTTTGCAAGTTTGAGATTGACTTTTAGTGATATTTACAAATACCTACTAAGTTTGAAATTGCATTATGTGAGAGAAATAATTAAATAACACCCTATTTCAGTGACTAGTAGACTAATAATGATACTTGAAAAACTCACCTAATTTAGTTATGGTTATAATCCCAATTTTACAGATAAGGATATTGGTTTGCTTATCTATGTTCTCACAATGATGACAACTTTATATGCAATGAAATAATTTATCAGGCTTAAAAAGTACCTTCTAACAAGATATCTAAAAACTCACTCTAGTGTGCTAAGTTGACATAGTAACTTATATATCAACCAATATAATAAAAAAGTAAATACTAAATGTTCTAATTCACAGTTCACTGTATATCACTTTAACTCTTTCACTTTCAGCCTGCCTCCCTATTACCCTCTTTCTTTTTTGTTACTGGAGACTATGCTTCTTGAAAAGTAAAGTTGTTTTCAAGTATCAAGACACCAGATTTTATATTTCCAAGTGTTATAGTTTTTATATTGAAGACATACTCAAAAGGTGATGCTTTAGAAAGCAAGATTTACATTATTAATATTGAAAGTCCTCATCTTTGTTGATCTTTATACTGTAGACAGTGATTAATGTTATATCATTTATTACCATTCTCTGTTTAGAAAAAACTTGCATTGTAATTTGGTTAAATTTGAGGGAGGTGTATCTTGGGTTCTAACACCAATTCCACTATAATTTATTTGTTGTTTAATTTTTTAATTTAAAAGATAGAATTTGAGTAATATATATTGATATTGAACCATGACAGTCTTACAAAAATCTTTTCACCAGGAATAGTACAAAAATATTTTCATCTGGAATAGTACAATTTGAAGAACTGACTCTATTTTTTATAATGGAAATTTTTATTAATAATGAAGTTATCTACTTTTATATTGTTTCAATTTCTAGTATAGAGGAAAATGTCTCCAGATTCTCTAGAATTCTCCTTAAAAACATATGAGTTGGCCAACTGTATAGAGGATGGAATCCTTGTTTCATTTCAGTTTTAAATTTTATTTATTTATATTTCTTGCAGAGCTGGGGACAAAACTCAAGGCCTCTTGTATGCAAAGCAAGTGCTCTACCACTGAGCTACATCCCCACCTTATGGATCCTAATTTTCTTTTATCTATTTATTTATTGTACAAGTTATTGAAGCCAGCCATGCTTTACCATTGAACCTCATCCCCAGGTCTTTGTATTTTTTATTTTGAGGTAGGGGATCACTAAATTGCTTAGGGCCTCTCTAAATGGTTTGAACTTATGATCCTGCGTCCTCAGCCTTCAGAGTCACTGGAATTATTGGCATGTGCTACCACACCTGGTAGGGAATCATAATTTTAAAGTATATATTAAACTAAAAAATTTTGTACCTTCTTTTTCACTTATCATGTCAAATGTTTCTTCTTCATTCTAAATCATTCTCATCATGCTAGTGCTTGTTTATGGCAAAAAAAAAATGTATAGAAAATATTCTTGAAAGAAAACACTGCAGTGTCAGACCACTGAAGGATAGCAACTTCTGCTGGTTCAACTCCCAGAGGTTAGAGAAGTGAAGTTTGAGCTTCCCTTGAGGATAACCTGTCTTTTCTCTGAGTTCTCTGCATCTGGGGAAGGGCCCAAAGGGAAAAAGTCAACTAGCCAGACCAACAGCTTAAATGACAGTGAACAAATATCTCACTAGAACATTTGTCTTAATTAAGTAATTTAATAAAATACTGTCTGGTTTAATTAACTTTGAATATTAAAATACTTTGTTCAGGTAGCTATGTTGTTTGTTTCCAGATTTTTTTTCCTTTTTCAAATTTATATAGAAAATAAAGACCTCCCTAAAAGTTTAGTAATATAAAACACTCAAAGGCAATTTATTTTGCAAAATTGTGATATAATTATATCAGAGCACAAAACAAAACAGAAAATTTCCTTTAGATCTTAATGTTCCCTGCATATATAAAATGAAACACTAAGGAATTTTTTATATAAACCATATTTTTCTTTTTTCTCTCTTATGGGTGAGTAACTGAAGGTTAAAACCAGAATTCATGGCTGTAAAGTATCATTTGCTTTTTATTAATGTGCTGAGGGTAAGTAAAGCAAGCAAATGTGGCTTGAGTACAGTACTGAATGGTGCATCCTTCATAGGTATGTATCGGGGAGCTGTGGCACTCTGTCACTGAGCACTATAACCAAATATTCAAAAACTATTTAATGTTAGACACATGGATATTGAAGAAGGATCATGTGCTTCTCATTTTTTGGTGAGAATGGCATTCAGAACTAGTACATTAAGTAAATTCAGGTGCTTCATATTTGAATGTCAAGGCTTAATTTGACATATCTTATGCCAGGGACCCATTTCAGATTGCAGGTTGTTTGCAAAACGTAAATGGAGATATGATTTTGGGCTATTTCAGCTATTTTACTAATGCTGAAGAAAGTATAAAATCACAAACAACCAATTTATATTAAAGCATAAAAACAAACAATATTCATCTGTCTTTAAGATTTAGATTTTTAAAGTTGTTCATATGAAGAACTTCATTTTTTAAAATTTATTTATTTTATTTTATTGGTTGTTCAAAACATTACAAAGATTGCAGAATCACATCAGTTACACATCCACATTTTTACATAATGCCATATTAGTAACTTTTGTATTCTGCTACCTTTCCTATCCTCTACTATCCCCCCTCCCCTCCCCTCCCATCTTCTCTCTCTACCCTATCTACTGTAATTCATTTCTCTCCTTGTTTTTTCCCCATTCCCCTCACAACCTTCATTTTTTAACCAGTTTGACATTATGTATTGATGAAATGAAGACATTTAATTGTAGCTTAATATTTAATAAAAAGATACGAAGATAAAATACATGGATCATTCTATTCTTCAAACTTTATTATAAATACTTTTATACTTATATTAAATACTTTTATACTTACATTAAAAGACCCTTTGTGATGAAATTGTTTTACTATGACAGACAATATTTTAACAAATACTGATTCGGTATAAGAAATTAAAATTATTTTAAGTAATTGACTCTTCAAATTCTTTTTTTTTTTTTTTTGTACCAGGAATTGAACCTAGGGGCAGTTTACATCTCAACCACATCCCAGGCCTTTATTTTTTCTTCCTGAGACAGGGTCTTGCTAAATAATTTAGGGCCTTCCTAAGTTTCTGAGGCTGGCTTTGAAATTGTGATCCTCCTGCCTCAGCTTCCAAGCTGATAGAATTATAGGAATGCATCACTTCTCATTGCATTCTTAAAGATAATTCACAGTGTTGGAAAATCTTCTGTATTAAATATTAATTGTATTCAAGGAGGTTATCAATACACATAGAAACTTACAAACTGGGTATCTGCTGATAAAGTACAACATTAATTCCCTTAAGATATGATTGTAGCATTAATAAATTATGCTGTTTAAATACACATTCCAGAGAATTATTTAAACATCTTAATGATGAGATATCTGACATAATTTCATTATGGTATTTGACAATAATTTTTTTCTTCTTTTTCTTTAGTTTATTATTATTTATAATGTGTGAATGACATAAAGTATAGTATTGATTTTGCTACCAAATTTATAATATAATGACAAATGAATTTGGTAAATTTTAATTATTTGTGTCATTTTATTTGAATTTTATTTGAATGTATTTTATACATAGAAGTGGATGAATGGAAAATGGGTAATTTTCTCTAGGTTTACTCTTAAAACATGATGCTTTTTAGGCTTCACAAAGTGTTTTTTACATGAAAAATATCACTTGTTCAAATGATTCAGTTGTGATAGACCTATGTATTTACTTAAATTGATGGAAACTATTTGTAGAGGTCACAGATATTACTTTAACAAAATGTATATTAATCCTACCATATCTCAATTTCAGGCATAACTCTTATTGCTCATAAAATATTTAA